AAGGGGCCGGTACCTTACACTGCGCTGCAGCAGTGACCAGGGTAAGAGCAAGCACTTGCATCGTGGGTTTCTCCCCTGTTCTTCCCTAGGCCTGGGTACCAATTCTTTATTGCTGCTTCAATTCTGTGGGTACAGCAGATGAGACAACACATGGAACACAGTCCTGTGGCTACAGCAGCTGTGCAGAAACAATTCTGAAATCCCAGAATGTCTTCTCTAGCTGCATCTTTGTATACTGGTGCTTCTGGGTGCCAGCTGCTCTGTCACAGAGCAAACAGTAAGGTATTGGGTGGCAGGGAAAGATGATATGAGTGATTCTGGAGTAACATCTAAAACCCCTGTCCTGGGCACAAGGAATGCAGAGCCCGGACCCTGGCCCTCTCCCACAAGAAGCAGCAATCTGTTTGCAACAGGTTCCCAAGGACAGCTGGGGCAGCTTGTTCCAAGTGGCACCCAGGCAGCTTTGCARTGTGGAGAGCACCGGCACCCAGGGGATTCCTCACTCTAACCCTCGGCCCAGCACGCTTTGCTGGGTGCTTCTGAAACCTTTTCTGTGCTCCAGCATGGGCACAGGCCCGGAGGAGCTGGGAGGTACGTGACTTCAGCAGCTGCCTRGGAGCTCCCACCTCCTTCAAACTGCAGGATCAGGGTTTTGATGTGCGACAGCTTCTGGTGCAGGTACTCGCAGCGGCGCTTCTCCTGCTGGTAGCTGGGATAGGTCTGGGGAGGGGGCACGGCTCAGCCCCGGCAGGGAGGCGAGTCCTTGCCCGCGCCCACGCTTACCCTCTTGAAGTGGCTGTATTCTTGCAGAATCGTGGCCTCGAGTGCCTGAAACCCAAGGGCTTGGATTAGCGGGACGGGGCGGCCTGCGTGGCCTCTGCCCCCAGCTCCCGTGCCTGCCTTGCGTTCCTCTGTTCCCGCCTCCAGAGTCTTCCTTTTGGCTCCCAGCTGAACAAATCTCTGGCTCGCGCCGCCAACRCGGGCGTGCAGGTAGCGGTACTCAGCATAGTCCGCACTGAACGCCGCCTCGTAGGCTCTGCACTGTTCCAGTGAGCGGATGGTACTGTATTTTCTGCCACAGGCAGAGAAAAGACTGGTTCTTCCCATGTTTGTGTGACCTCTGCATAACGAAAAGCCCTTGTGCTGGGCCAGGGCTGTGCAACGAGGAACAGGCAGTGCTGTGATCGCGCTGCCTCCCTGCTGTGACCTCGCTGCCGGGACAGGCAGCTCCATCTCCCTCCGCAAACCACCACGGGACTGCGTCTAAACTGCTGGAAACAGGGAGTCCTGGGGCAGCGAGTGTCCGTGTTGCACTTACCGCAAGTAATCCGGGACCTCCGCCAYGGAGAAGCTGCTGGGCTGGGCCCTGGCCCCTGGCAGGAGCAGAGACCAGGAGCATTAGGGAGCCCCACCTTGGGTCTTCTTTGCAGACAGCGCTGCCTGTGCTCCCCCCAGCCCCGGGCTCCTGCTCCCTGCGGGCCAGGCTCACCGCGCAGCACCGGCACCTACGGAGCCCAGTGTCATGCGGGGAGCTTGCAGGGGGCTGGGGATCCTACTGCAGGGCAGATATCCTGCAGATGGGGCGCAGGGGCAGAGCTGTGCTCAGAGCCTCAAGGGCCTCCCCAGGGAACCGTGGGCAGTGGACCCGGGCTTGTACCCCCAGCTCCTCGCCATGGCCTCCAGAGCTGGGACCCCTCTGCTTGCCTGAAGCCCCGGGCTGGGTCGCTCGCCTCCTTGCTGGGCTTCCAGGCTGCTGCTCCCTCCCACAGTGAGAGGGCTGGACCATGCGCCCCAGGGCCGCGTGGGTGGCCGGGCACCTCCTCACCTCCCTGGGCCAGACAGAGCTGCTCCCCAAGCATGTCACCTTCCTCCCAGGCATCCTCTGCCTCCCCTGGGCTCGCCCCGCGCTCCGGGCTCCGCAGCTCCCTGGCCGGGCTGCGCAGGGGCCGCRGCCTGCGGTGCTGTGGGCCCTGGACTCCCAGTTGCTCCCCGCTGGCCGCCTGCGGGCAGCGCCGGTGCCGCTCCCGGGGGCCGGGTGGAGAGTCCAGCGCCCGCGGCCTCCCGCTGCCTCTCGGATCTGAGCAGTTGAGCAGTGCCAGGCGTTTCTGAGGCACAAAACAGCTTCACTTGGGACTTGTCCTGGACCCCAGCAGCTTTGTGCTGCCCAGCCCRGGGCTGCTGCATTCCTGGCTCTGCATCAGCATCACCAGAGATGCCCAGAGGCACCAGTGGGTGACAGTGCCGACACCAAGGGCCTCCCCATCCTTCGTGCTTCAGGGCCAGCGGCTGGAGCATCTCCCCCCATGGTGGTCCCAGCCACACACTGCACAGTGGGCCTGGACCCAGGGCAGGAGCAGGGCCCAGAGACGGGAGGTGCAGAGCAGGTGCCAAGAGGCAGAAGGCTGAGCCGGCCCACGCTCTCCTGTGCGCACACCCGAGGGCTCTCCRCTGCCTGCGCCTGTGGGACTCACCACCCCGCGGTGGCTTCTCCTGGCTCCCTGTGGGTAGCGGCCGTCAGGGGACTGCTGCAGAGGTACCAGGAAGGGCCGGACCGCAGGGCCCTCGTGCTGGTTCCTGCAGTGTCAGAGACGTGGCCAGAGGTCGGCACCAGGGACAGCCTCTTTGGGCACCCAGGTCAGCAGGAGATGGTTCCACGCCTGCCCAAAGGGTGCTGWGTACAGGGGGTACACGCACCCAGCGCAGCTCCCGTGGCCCCCGCCCAGCCCCACCTGCGCCGCAGCAGGGCCATGCGCCTCCACTCTGGGGCCGTGTTCCTGGGCCAGTCCTCCTGCCCACCGCCCGCCAGCCCCTCCTTGGGGCAGCAGCAGCTCTCCGTGGGGTCCCGCTCCGCCACCTGCGTGGGCAGCAGCARCTCAGGACAGGTCTGCAGTGCTCACCGCGGTGAGTGGAACCTGGGTACCCGCGAGCACCCGCAGCAGCRCCTGCCCACCTCCTGCAGCGCGCTGGGCAGCCCCTGCACAGGCTGGTGCTGGCCGTGGGGCTGCAGGGCCAGCAGCTGCACCARGCTCTGAACAGAAGCCCTGGGGCTGGCAGTGGTGGCCCGGTGCTCCGTGCCCTCTGGGATGCGGTGAGCAGAGCCCTTCCCTGGCAGGTCGCTCTCATCCGCCATGGTCCGAGCYGTGACGCCTCTGCCTGTGCAGACGTGGGGGCAGAAATGTCAGTGTTCAGGGAGAGCTGTGGAGGAGCCCACTTCCCCCTGGCACGTGCTCCCCACCCTGCACTGTCCCCTTGCTGGCAGGACCAGGTGCCAGCCCACCTAGAGCTACAGGTGGCTCCTGCTCCTGCTGCCCTGACGCGTGCGGAGCTGTTGCCCTGCTGCAGTTGTGCTTGCTACATGCAGAGGGGTGTCCTTGGGGTGATGTGTCCTAGGCTTTAGCTGAGTTCAGCCCCCCATTATCACCCAAGCCAACACCCCCCAGCTCCCACTAACCCAGGCTGAGCTCAGTGGCTGCTCGGCCCCAGGACTCCTCAGGCTGGGGCCTCTGCTCCTGCAGTGCCAGGCGGGAGCTCTCAATGGCACAGATGGTGATTTTCTCCTGGATGCTGCCCACGGTGTCCAGCCAGCTCTCACCTAGTCTGGGAGCAGAGAGCACCTCCCACCAGAGGTGCCAGAGAACCCAGCCCTGCTCCCCTCACCCCATGGTGCAAAGGGGACCCTGAGCCAGTGAGGGAGGAGGGAGTTTTTCCCCACGGCCCTGTCTCCAGGGCTGCCTTCAAGCTGTTTCCAGGGCACCRGGTGTTCCCAAGGCAGCTGAGAGCACAGCGAGCTGCTTGAGCTGCCCTGAGCTYGCAGGCTGCTGGCCTCGTGCAGGGGGCAGAGTGGGCAGAGCAGGGGGACCTGGCTGGGACCAGAGTCGGGGGCGCAGCAGGCAGCGCAGGCACCCAGCAGCCCAACAGGAAGGAGAGGAAGGGGGCTGCTCCATGGGGCAGGGACCGGACAGTGCTCAGCTCCACACACCCCTGGCCAGCACAGCACACGGCAGGGGCTCACCTGGACACCGCCAGCCGTACACACTCGAAGCTCGCCTGCTGCTTGTCCCTGTCACAGCGCGAGAGGAAGAAGGCAAAGAGCCACGGGGGCTCCCCGGGGCCGCCCGGTACCATCAGGCTCTGCCATGGGGGACACACCGTCAGGCACCCGCCCCATCGGGCCGCCAGCGACCCACCGGGAGCCGCTGCAAGTTCCTCCCCTGTCCAGGGATCGGCGGCTGCCGGTGCAGCCGGCGCCCGAGGCTGGGGCCAGAGCCTCGCTCACGCCGCTGCCCCGCGGCAGCTCCGGTCCTGCCACCTTGGTGCCGTTCGAGCCCTCCCGCTCCGCCGCCGGCCCCACTCACCCCCTGGCTGCCCTGGAAGGCGATCGTGGGCGCCGGTGCCCCCTGCAGCGAGAGAGCGCGTGAGCCCCGGGCTGCCTGCTCCGCTCCCGGCCCGGCCCGGCCCGGCCGGCCGCACCTGCCGCCGCTCGCAGCCCCGCAGCGCCCGCGCCGCCGCCTCCGAGAGCCGCAGGTGCAGGAGGCTCAGCCGCGGGCCCCGCGCGCAGCCCCGGTACCGGAGCCGCCCGCGCAGCTCCGGCCGCGCCCGCCGCATGGCTCCGAGTGCGGGCGCCGCGGCGGCGTCGGGGGGACACGAGGGCGGTACCGAGGCGGGGCGGCAAGGGGTGACACCGGGGCGGGGTGGCACAAGGACCGCACCTGGGCGGTACAGGGGCGGTACCGGGGCGTATGACACCGGACTGCCTGCCACCAGCTCGGGAGCCCGGAGCCGCGTGCGGAGTGGCGGAGCGCGACGGGGCCCGCGAGCCTCCGCAGCGGCCGCCGCGCTGAGCCGGCTATTTTTGCCGCAGCCCGTAAAGCCCCAGCCGGCCCCGCTAATCCCCTTAGTGGCTTCCCTGCCTTAGGTAACGGGAAGAGGGGGCGCGCGGCGGCGCCTCTGGCGCGGGGCGGTCCGGGGCTGCCGCTCGTAGCAGCGACCCAGAGGCAGGCATGGAGCCCGACGGCCCCGCGGAGAGGGAGGCGGGAGACGAGGGGCAGGCGCGGGGGCCCGGCCGCGGCAGGGCGGTGCGGTTCCTCATGCCCCACACCACCATCGCGGTGCCGTCGGTGCGCGAGGAGGAGCCGCTCTTCTACCGGCGACTGGACGAGCTGGTGGCCCCTGGCCCCGGCGGCTTCGGGCCGCTCTTCACTGCTGACGGCTGGAGCGACCTGACYGGTGAGTGGCCCCGCGGGGCCCCGCGACGGCGGCGGGGCTGGTTTCACCGCCGCGTCTCGCCGCAGGGGACCGGCTGCTGCGGAAGCGCGTGGTGCGGGATGGCCAGGGCGGCCCGCGGCCACGGCCGGGCCAGGAGGTGTCAGTGAAGGCGCTGGGAGCGGTGGAGGATGGCAGCCTGGTGGAGCGGGACCCGCGGCTCACCTTCGTGCCGGGCCACGGCGACGTGGTGCAGGTGTGCCGGCGGGGGGGRTGGGCCGGTCCGGTCCGGTCTGGGGAACCCCCGGGTGCCCGCGGGACCCAGGAGCCGCCGCGCCCCAACCCGTGCCGCCCGCAGGCCCTGGAGCTCGGCGTCCCCACCATGGAGCTGGGGGAGATCTGCCTCTTCCTCGCCGCACCTTCCTACGGCTACGGCCGCCTGGGCAGGTAAGGGCGGCCGAGGGGGCGGCCGTGGTAGCGGCGCGGGGGCGGCCGGCCGACAGAGGTAGCGGCGCTGTGCCCGCAGGGAGCCCGACGTGCCGCCCGAGGCGCCGCTGCTCTTCGAGGTGACGCTGCTGGAGGTGCGCGACGACCCCGACCCGCAGCGGCTGCCGCCCGCCGCCCGCCTGCGCCTGGGCGCCCAGAAGCGCGAACGGGGCAACTTCCACTTCGCGCGGGGCGACTTCACGGCAGCGCTGCGCTCCTACCGCCTGGCGCTGCGCGCCCTCGACGGMACCGGCGCGGGTGAGGGCGGCAGCGGCAGGGAAAGCGAGGGCCGGGGCGGAGGGGACGCATGGGGGGCTGAGGTCGCGGGCCTGGGGTGGCTTCGGACCGGGAGCGCTGGGAGGGGGCGGTGGCCCGGAAGCCGGGACAACGTGGCCCATGCCGAGGTGCTGGATCCAGCGGGGTGCAGTCCCCGGTCCCCTGATGCCGGCGTGCCCCGCAGCGCCGCCCGGGCCGCAGGAGGAAGAGGAGCTGCGGGAGCAGTGCGTCAAGTGTCTGAACAACTGCGCGGCGGCGGAGCTGCGGCTGGAGCGGCCCGAGGCGGCGCTGGCCTCGTGCGAGGCGGCGCTGCGGCTCAGCCCGGACAACGGCAAAGCGCTGCTCCGGCGCGGCAAGGTGGGCGCGGGGCCGCCGGCGGGACCCCCACGCCGCGCCCGCCGCTACCCCCGTTCTGTGCCCGCAGCTGCTGGCCGAGCAGGGCCGCGACGAGGAGGCGGCGCTGGCGCTGCGGAGGGCGCTGCAGCTGGAGCCGGCCAGCAAGGTCCGTGCGCGCGGGGCGGGCGGGCGGCCGGCCCCGCGCCCCCCGKCCCCCGCGCAGCGGCTCTGCCCTCCCCGCAGGCGGTGCACGCCGAGCTCTCGCGGCTGCTGAAGCGCCGGCGCGGGCCGCCCCCGCCGGCCGCCGAGGAGCCTCGCGGCGACGCGGAGCGGCCGCCGAGCCCCGGGTATGTAGGGCAGCGGCACACCCCAAATCGGCGGCCGGCCGGGCCGCGCTCACCCGCGCTCTCTCCGCAGGCCCGTGGCGGAAGGAGCGGCCTGAGCGGCGGCGGCGCCGCGCACGGACGGAGACCACGCGCCCGGGGGCCGCGGCAGGACCTGGCGTCGAGTGGACGAGAGGGGAAGGCGCCCGCTGCCTGCCCTGCATCCTGCACTGCACCACTGACCAGCCCACACCGCATCCTGCACTGTCCCCACGGCTCCCGGCACTGCACCACGTTCCAGCGCACACTGTGCCCGGCACTGCAAACTGCCCCATTCTGCACTGCACACCTCAGCGCTGCCCCGCGCTGCAGCCCCGCGCGGCTCCTCTCAGTGCTCTGCACCACTGCCCGCGCTGCGCCCCGCGCTGCAAGCCCGGCGCGGCTCCTATCAGTGCTCTGCACCACTGCCCGCGCTGCGCCCCGCGCTGCAAGCTCCGCGCTGCAAGCCCCGCCCCCGCGCTGCAAGCCCCGCCCCCGCGCCGCAGGCCGCGCCCCACGGCCCCGCCCCGCGTGCCGGGAGGGGCGGGGTCTGCGAGGCCCCGACCCCGCCCGCCGGAGGGGGGCGCTGTTCAGAGCCGTCTGCGCCTGCGCAGCCGCTTCCGGCACTTTCGTGCCCGTCGGGGAGACGGCCGCTGTAGCCCGTGGCCAATCAGGCGGGGCGCCACGGCTCTTCGGGCCAATGGGCGAGCGCGAGGGGGCGGGCGCTGCGCGGCGATTGGCCACGGCGCGCTTATAGGTCGAGGCGCGCGTCACGGCGGGGGCAGTGGGGGACGTGGCGGCGGAGCGGCGGGAGCGGCGGCGCCATGACCCGTGAGTGCGGGCCCGGCGC